GGACATAATATTTGATAATTTCTTAATATATTGAAAAGTATATATATATAATAATATATAACGTATATATATATTTATTTATTTTTTTTTTATAAGAATATATTAAATTTTATTGTTTGATTTATTGCAAAAAAATAGCCACTAGAATTCAAAAAATAAAATAATAGATAAATTTTCAAAAACCAAATCATAATAAAGTTTCATGCTTAACCGAGGGTCACTGAAAATTTCCATTTCACCATTTAAATATGTTTTTATCCATTCCATATATATAACAATTTGGATTTTCAAAAATTTGGTTAGAGGTGAAACAAAATCAAATATATCGCCTACCGCAAAAAAAATTTTAACGAATAAATTTTATCGTGAAATCAGATTGCCATATATATATGTACATTTGATTTATTCATGCTTATATATATGAAATAATAAAAAATATATATATGTATCCAGTTATTTGAAAAATTTATCTAAATTATGTATTATATTACATGTTAATGAATTGGTCATTGTATGTGTCAAATATATATATATTTCAAATATATATTTAACCCGATAAAAAATAAATATTTTAAAAACTAAAAAAAGCATCGTTTAATATATATATTTATATTATATATTATTATTATTAATATATTTTTTAATTTTATATATTTATGACATTATATATTTTTAAAAAAAAATTATAATAAAAGAGACTAAATAAAAATTTTTAATTTTTATTATATAAATCAACAAAAAAAAAAAAAAAAAAAACCTAAAAAATCCGAATGTTTAATAATTTATCAATTTTTCCATCAATGTTTATGTCGTTTTGCAAAAAAAATTTTACACTTTTTTAAATGTAAAGTAAAATTTTGAAAATAACTAGAATAATTCGTTAACCATGTTCATTTAGGTAGGTAAACTAGATGACAATCATAAAGACTTTTTTCTCGTATCTGTTCTGTATTTGTGATCAAAGAGTTTATGCTGAAAAATTATTTTTTTAAAAATATTTTCATGGTAACTTAAATGATGAGCTGCTTTCGCTGGTTCCCATAATTCATTTCTTATTATTTTTTTATTAGGCTGGCATTTTTAAGAAAACACTTTCAAACAAATTAAAAAGTTGCAAAATTTTTAATTAGTCTTCTAAATGATGAGAGATGCTTTTATAAATCGCATTCTCAAAAATGAAATCATTCCCTTTTTTTTAATCATTTCCCTGATAGCCAAACGTCTAATTTTGTAAATTCAAAGAAATGTCAATTTTTTATTTGATATTTATTTTATCCTTCTATTCCATTATCCTTCTCCTAAATTCAAAATTCTTCTTTTATTTTGAAATATCTAATATTTATTGGAATATATATATATATATAAAATATATATATATATATATATATATATATATATATACATAAATATTATATATATATAAAGGAAATAAATTCATATTCTTATAATCCGAATTGATATAATATTTTATTTTTACAAAATAGTGCATTAATGTAAATTTAAAATTAATATAATAAATTTAACTGATTTAAAATAAATGGTTTTGTATGGACAAAATCTTTTCTTTAATGGAAAAAAAATAAAATTTAATTTTTTATTTAAATTAAAGACATTAGTTCCATTTTTTTCCTCAATCAAGAGATCATGAAACATGGTTTGAACTGTGTAAAAAAAAAAACATATTTTAAATCAATAATTTATTATATTTATGTATATATATATATATATATATTATATATATATATATATAGGTATGTATAAAAAAAAATAACTTGGATTTTTTGTGATTAGATTGTAGTAAATAAAATATATTTAAAATATGACCTTTATATAACATTTTAATTTCTTTATTATTGTTTAAATTCCTATTTTTTTTTTTTTCCCGAATTTGGAAAAAAATATTTATTTAAAAAGCCTATATTTTCGTAAAAAATTAATTTAAATTTAAAAATTAATAAAAAAAAAAATTGATAATTTAAATTAAGTTCTATTATTTTGATATTTGATCAAAAGCAGAAAAAATGGAAAATTTAATTAATTATATTTACACAGTTAAACATCTTTAGTCTTCAAATATTTTACATTTAATTTGTTAAGTTTCGTGCATCCATCCATTAAAAATATATATTTGCAGTAAATATATTTTAAAATATATTAAAATGTATATTTGTAAATAAATTTATATTTTCTAATTTTTATTGAATTGCTTTTTAAATTTTCAAATATATATTTTTTTTTTATATAATAAATTTTATAAAAATATATGATGAATTTAATTTTATATATAAAAAATATTTTGAATTTATTTTTTTGTTTCATATTCACTTGTGTTCAATAACCTATATAAAATATATATTTATTCTGCAATAAAGTTTACAAAATCAACGATTCAAATATAATTTGCCATGTAAACTTAATGAACAATAATCAAAATTTTATCAACATTTTTTTTTTTTCAATATTTATTTGTTTATAAATATTATGGATAAATTAATGATATATATATATGATATTCATTTGTTTTCAAAAGAAATCCATCTTCATTGTTTTTTTTTTTTATTTATTTATTTATTTATTTCCGTGCATTTTTTTTTCTTTTAAAATGATATTCCTTAAACAAAAAATCAATCAAAATATTAATAACTTTTTATAATTTCATTTTATTATTTATTTATATTTTCTTTATATTTATATATAAAAATAATTTTGTTTGAATTGAATTGTGAAAAATATGATTTTTCCATCCATTTTCAATCAATAAATTATAACCATAGAAATGGCTTGTTTAAACATTTTATACTGATCACATTTATTGAGTAAAAAAATATATATAAATATATATATATATATATATATATATATATATATATATATATATATATATATATGTGTGTGTGTGTGTGTGTGTGTAAAATATATAGAAAATAGGAAAGAACTCGTTAGGTAAATAATCCAAAGTTCTTTAGTATTTTTTGTTATTATTTTTTTAAAATAGTGCTCGATACAAAAGTAGAGCATAAATATAATTATTTATTTAAAAAATATGATTCCAACGCTACATAAGAGTTCTCATGTTTCAAAACAAGAGCCGAAAACTTCAATATAATTATTTGAATTAAATTGAATTAAAGTACTAAGCTCTGTTCCATCTTTCAAGCGAAATTTTTTTTGGAATAACTTATTTTTAAAAATTTACGCGTTTTATAAGCATATTCATTATTGAAATTAAAATTACTATGGTAACGGCTAGAGCAATTGTTTAAAAAAAAAAATCGTAAGGGTTAATAATTTGTATCAATATCTCAGTTACATTCAAAGACGTCAAGTCAGGGTAAGGTTTGGGTGTCTAAATTTAAAGCGGAAGATGACATCGTCTAGTCTGGTTAAGTGTCTATGGAGATTTATTTTTTTTTTTTTTTTTTTTTTTCTGAAAGGGTTTTGTGTATATAAAAAAACTGTCATAATTCGCTAACATTTGTTTTTTAATTTTTTTCATAAAGGGTTATCTTTTATAAATTTTTTTTTTTTGTTTTTTGTAGGGGGCTTTTAAACTATTTATTTAGACTATGGAATTTAAAAAATTATTTTATTGTTTGTTTGTTTTTTTTGCTAATTATTATTCAATGCGAAAATTTGATGATGTCGGCAAAAAAAACTGTTAACTCCTGTCTATTGTTTAATAGATTTTTTTATTATTTAGAAACTTAATAATGTGCAGTTTTTTATGTAGGCATAAAGGGCATGGGTCATCCCAAGTTTTACAAGTTCTAGTTTTGTTTATAATTTTCCATTAAATGGAAACATTATGTCTACATTTATTTATCATAATCCTTTCATATTCACCAATATTTTTCCTTACTTACAACTGAATAAAGGTCAATAAAACCACTGTAACAGTGAGAATTAATACAGTGCATTTCTTTTGTCTTATTCGATTTGTAATATAGATAAAAAAAAATTATTTATTTTTTATGAAAGGATTATATAAAAAAAAGTCATATAATCGTTTGTAATTTATTCAATCAAAGCATATATATATATATATATATATATATATATATATATATATATATTCTCTTTTTTTTTAATCCCCTCTCAGTAATTTTATACCCCTCTTCTATATTGACATGATTTTTCTCAATCTTTTTTATTGATTTTTTTAATCTCTCTCTCTCTCTCTCTCTCCCTCTTTGATTCATGTTCCACATATAAATAAACAAATATATTTTTTCCTTCTGCTTTCTCTCTCTCCTTCCTCTCCCACTGAATACATTTTTACAACGTCTGTCTCTATTGGGATATCTCTAAAAGACAAATTTTCTAATTTTTTCATTGTAAACACTTCTCTCTCTCTCTCTCTCTTTTCTGTTACAATTCTTTCTTTATGTCTCTTCTCCATTTGTTATTTTTTTATATAAAAATAGATTTTGTCTTTTTTCCTAAAAGATAATTTAAAACCATCCTCTCTATCTCTCTCTATAGAACGTCTCTTTTCCTCTTTAAATTCAATAGATTTTTCAATGTACTCTCTCTCATTCACTATTGGCATGTTTCTTTAGTTATTTTTCTTTGTCTCCCTCTTTCTTTTATCTCCCCGTTTAGTAGGAAAGACGATAAACTACATCCGGTAGCAAGCCCCTTGGTCGGGATGTTTTGAGGATTGTGGAACCACCTCTTAATTGCTGGTGTTCTCCGGTCCACCTTGAAATGCAGGATTTTACCTTATTAGGGTCCCATAATAAATAAATAGTTATCCCCAGAAACTGCAATCAAAACACTACGAAAGTGGGAAAATAGGTTTCAATTAACAAATAATAGTTTTTTTGTAAAAGATTATTAACCAATTTTTGAATTTTTGAAAATTTTACTATATTCAAATTTTTTGAAAAGAAAATATTAGCAGCATATATTAAAAATAAAAAAATATTACCAACAATAAAAATCAAAGTCGGTATTTAAATAACGCATTGAGGTTGATATGTAAATTTTTAAAGCCAAACAAATAAAATTTTTTAGATAGATAGATTAGATAGATAGATAGATTTATAGATAGATAGATAGATAATAGATGATAATATGAATACACTGAGATAGATAGATAGATAGATAGAATAATATGAATATTAAGATTTATAGATAATAGATAGATAAGGAGATATATAATACAAATACCACTGAGATATAGATAGATAGATAGATAGATAGATAGATTTTCTAGATAGATAGATAGATAATATGAATTTTTTTTTAGATAGATAGATAGATAGATGTCATAGATAGATAGATAATATGAATACACTGAGATATAGATAATGAGATAGATAGATAACGATAGATATATACATAATAAACATACACACCTTTTAAAGATACATAGATTAACGATAGATGGATAGATAGATAATTTAATATAATAATATAGATAGATACTTAGATAGATATGATAATATCTGAGGATAATAGATGAAATTAGATTTAATAAAAAATACATTGAGATAGATATAATAATAGATAGATAAATATATAGATGTATAGATAAGATGGATAAATAGAAATTTTTGATAGATGAGATAGATAGATAGATAGATAATTCAATGCGACTGATAGATTAGATAGATAGATAGATGGATATATGAAAGATAGATGGATAGATAATATGAATAGAAATTTTATAGATAGATAGATAGATAGATAGATTGATAGATAAAAAATATTATTAGCAATAAAAAACTTACGGCATTAAAAAACCCATTGTCGTTTTTTTTGTATTTCAAAACGAAAAAAAAGAAAAACCAATATATACTGAGATAGATAGATAATATGAATAGACTGAGATAGATAGATAGATAGATAGATAGATAGATAGAAAAAATATTAGTAGCAATAAAAGTTTTGTCGGAATTAAACAACCCATTGACGTGTTGACATGCCGTAAAACGAAAAAATAAATCAAACCAATATATACTGAGATAGATAGATAGATAGATAGATAGAAAATATATTACCACTATATTAAAAAAAAAAAAAAAAACTTTTCAGCATTAGATAACCCATAGAGGTTGATATTCCGTAAACCAAACCAAACCAAACTAAACTTATCTCTCTCTTTACACACACTGATTTTCTCTTTGTATGTTTTTGAATCGGTCTATTCTTCTGAATGAATGAATCAAATTTGATGTCTACTCTTGATGACCTGCGACATAAACAAGAAAAAACAGTTTTTTACATTCACATATCAAGAATCTCTAATGGCATAATTATATTCAATATCGTTTTCTCTTCCAATAATTTCTTAATTTTCATTTTTAAATAGAATGTCAATTCCATTTATTTGCTTTATCGATACAAAATGTCCCGAGAAACAGTGGAAGACGCCGCCGGCTGCTAATGCTAAAAATTTGTATTTCAAGTTGCCAAATATCAAGATTACGGTCAATCATTTTAAACAGAAAAAAACAGGAGAAATGGTACTTGCATCCTCTGCTTCCATTTTCAGCTGTTCTTCAGAGTTGTGTAAAGACTTATGGCTCGAAGAAGCTATGCTGCCGTTATTGATATTTGAAAGATCGTGTCGACAGAGAAATATATTTCAAGGTTCTTGGACCAGGGAAGTTGAAATAAAAAACTTACCCCAGGTTCTGGTATAGAATTGCTTTTTCTGTTCAGTTAGGAAAGCAAGATCAATTTATCTTTATATATATATATATATATATATATATATATATAATTTTCAAATGAAAACTACAGATAAAGTTCATTTTCTTCAGAAAATCATTAATTCCCTGTGGTTCCTTTTTAATAACAAGCATTTCCGTTTTTTTCTCCTGATGATATTCATGCTGGTCGAAATATAGTTGAAATAATAAAACAAAAAAATATTAATATAAGACCCAGTGTGTTTGAAAATTTTAATTCCTTCAATATTTCTTATTGTTCATATATATATATATATATATATATATATATATATATATATATATATATATATATATTAAAGAAAAGCAAATCTCTCACACAAAAAACACACACACACACATTATTATATATATATATATATATATATATATATATATATATATATATATATTTGTAAGAAATATAAGTTCGCTGAACCAACGAAGAATTTTTAAAAAATTGCTTTCTATTTGAATTCCGAATAAACCCGACAGTACTGTAAAAAGAAATAGAAAAAAGGCCTTGAAATAAAGTGTGAGCAGCCCATATAGCCTAAACCTAGCAAAAACGCTTACCAACATTAAATCCTATGAAAGAATGACTCGTCCTAACTCAAGGTTCACGTTCACGCGATCTTCATACACACACACACACACACACATATATATATATATATATATATATATAGATAGATAGATAGATAGATAGATAGATAGATAGATAGATAGATAATATTAGTGGTAAATATAAACATGCATATGCAAAATATATAAATATATATACATAGGTGCATACACATACATGTATATTTCTCTAGTCTGTCACCCCTCTCTTTAGCTCTAACTCTCTCTAAATTCCGTTTTTATTTCCGGAGTTATTTTTTCTTTTTTCTTTTTTAATTTGTAGGTCTGATGAATTGGATCGTATTTACGATTCCAATGGAATAAATTATGACCATGGAATATTAGTGTTTAAGCCTTTTTATTATATATATATATATATATATATATTCTCCTCGATCCTTCAAATCTACATATCAACCATTCCCCCTTGCATGGAGTATTGCTGACATATATGGTCTGGAGTCCCTATTGTTTGCCTCGGGGTTCTTGATAAGATCCAGAGATCGGATATGCAATATAATTGGCCCCGATCTGGCATCTCGTCTGCAGTCGCTCTCTCACAGACGTGCCGTAGCATCTCTTTGTCTTTTTTACAAATACTTTCAGGGTAACTGCTCCGATGAGCTGCTTTCGCTGGTTCCCAAAGTTTGCGAATTCAAGCGTCCAACGAGGCTGGCATCCCGCTCTCACCCTTTCACTGTTGAAACTATTAAATCTAGCCGTCTCTTCTACTCCAATAGCTTCATATCTTGCAGCTCTCGCCTGTGGAACTCCCTTCCCTATCCCTGTTTCTCTGAGAGATATAATCTCCAACTATTCAAATGTAATGTCAATCGACATCTCCAGCTGCCTTGATCTATCCACTAGCCTTCTCCTCATCCTTTCCTCTGTCATTCCTACCTGCTCTCTCACCAAATCCAATGTAACCCCTTGCGTACTAGTGGCTTTCCGCCTTGCTAAGGGTGAAATGCTTTAATATAGGAGATTAGTTGATTCCACCTCGTTGGTCTCAAACTCACAGTATCGTCAGTCGATTTTTATGACCTGATCTTCCACCGCTTTACTAGAAACAAAAAAACAAAAAAAAAACACAGAATGAACCGTATGTTTTTTAAAAAATAAAATAAATGTCGTGCGTTAGGTGTAGAAGAAAAGGAGGAGGAGGATGCTAAGAGAAAAATAGAAGAGGGAGAAGGAGAGGAGGAGAAAAGCAAGGGTATTTTAAATGCATGGCGGGGATTGAAATGTACATACATTTTATCCAGCTTCTCGTGAATTTAAGAGGAATATTTTGTATGTATGCAACGATTCATGATTTCGGATCTCTACTTCAAATCTCTGGTGGAATCCGGTAATATATATATATATATATATATATATATATGTGTGTGTGTGTGTGTGTGTGTGTGTGTGTGTGTGTGTGTGTGTGTGTGTGTATATAATTATGGCATCCCGTCGCTTTCGACGTATGATTATCAAGCAACTCAGTTCCTAGGCACCAACGGCCAAGGACCAGCACATATAACTTGATTACAATGGTGGAGGCTTTGTGCAGAACCAAGAGCCGAATACAGAGACCTGGTTCACCACGTGCGACCAGGTCCCCAAACGACACTACACAGGTTTGACTTATGTGTTGTCCCTTTTCTAGAGAAGTAGACATTCTTGGCTATAGAACCCGGTCTGTCTTACCATTTACCCATAGCTGGGAGGGAGAAGACGAGGATTCATATCTTTCTCAAGGATATTAGCACGTAAGTGCATGTAATGGATTTAACTAGAATTTGTGTGTGTGTGTGCCATATATACGCGCGCAAGCGGGCGGGCAGGAAACCTGTGTCTGTGTGTGTTATGGCTATTTAATGTAATCACTTTTGTTATAAAATATCTCAAATTGTGATAACAGAAGATTTGCCAAGAATGGTGAAACGTTGTAAGAACCTTTCTATTTACTTTCTAAACATTTTCGTCTTAGTAAATTGTTTTCTCTTTGAATTTTCAATCAAAATTATGGTCAGTCTCATTACTGCGAGCACTTTGTTAAAGATTCCTTTTGTGTTTTCATACTCTTTTATATAAATTGCTTGAGATTTCACCTATGTATTCTTTACGGCAATTATTACATGTAATAGGGTAAATTTCCCCCTACAAGTTTTAGCCTATTATTTTGTTTTGTATTAAGTATTGTACTGTCTTGGACGTAGTTGTGACACATTTTGTGAAGCGATAAGATAATTTCTTTTCTATTGCAGTTGTGATTAAGTTGGTGGGTAGATTATGTACCCAAAGCATATCTTAGACGAAATATTAAAAATTAAAAAACTCAGTGTCTCCCTTCATTCGAGAGTATATATAATCACATCAACGTAAGCATAACTTTAGATTAATAAAGCCCTAAATGATGAAATGCGTGGCACGAAAAACTTTTCTATTTCATGTCCCCTCAGTCACTCAGGTCTTCAAGTTTTCGTTTACCTTTGCTGTGACCAGATACTGAACTCACAACGCTTTGAGGCAAGTCATTGGATTACTTTTAACCAAAAATGAAATGCTCTGTTATAATTTAAAATTATATGTCTTATTATAATAAATACATTGAGCTCTATTTGTGGGTCAGTTTTAATATATTATTAGGATCTACTTTGATTATATACCAACTGATTTGTTTGTTTTACTATACTTTATATATATATATATATATATATATATATATATATATATATATATATTAATCCACCTGAAGAGTTCAATAAGGCTGACGCATTCGGCGTTAGTTGAAATAGTTTATAATTTATGAGGTAATTTTGGATTTTTCTGTTATGTAATTTATATGCTCCGTTATAATAAATACATTGAACAATTTTTACCAATCACTTTTAATATTTTTTATATTATTAGGATCCACTTGGAGTATATACCAACGGATTTACTTTTTGTACTATATATATATATATATATATATATATATATGAAGAAATATAGTCTTAAGATGTGCTATATTTATGGGATAAAGTGTTCAATATCAGAGATAGAGCGTGTGTAAATATAAAAGTGAACATAGAAATCAACATGAATTACAGGCGACACTGTTTCATGCTAGAATCAATGGTCAGGCCTGACGATTGCATCTAGCATGAAACAGACTGTCGCCCTAAGTTTGACTTCGATGTTCACTTTTTATATATATATATATATATATATATATATATATATATATATATATATGTACATTTCAAAAATCAAACCTTAGCGTTGCGACTGCATGCTCCAAAAGTTTGTATCCGTTAACAATAACACATTTAAAAAAAAATTTTCGATTTGCATTTAATTTTTTCGTCTCGGAGGCTAACTGAATTTTACCAAAAACAAAATAATTTCCATGCCTGAAGATGACTGAATGTACAGTTGAAAGTACTTGCGTATTAAACAAAGACCTTATACAGTTTATAATTTTTAAAAACAAGGATCATAACATTAATCGAGTGATTTGTATGTTAATGCAACTTTAAATGTTGTTTGCGAAGGATTTTCGCCATTTTATATCATCCTTTACTAATCCTCGTTTTGTATGAATGACTCATTGTAATATATATATATATATATATATATATAT